TGAAACAAAATCAATTGAGTGAGGATTATGCCATCACTGGTCATTGGATAATAAATGTCCTGTGATTTAGGGTTTTACAATGCCCTCAAAGGCGGACCAGAAACCTAGCCTTTCGTGATGTGAAAAACAACGGTCTATCAGCACCCAAAAAAGGTTGCAACCGGTGGGGAACATTGTTGGAGACCGACTATAGAGGATGATGAATATGACTTCTGTAGTTTGTTTTCTGTGAGTTGCAGCATTATTTGAATTAAGGGTACTAATACTGATTAACTGCCTCTTTTTCTTGAGCCCACTCTAGAACCTACGTTTCGTATTTAGATCCATTAGTGAACCGAGAAGTGAACTGCTGCTCTGAGTTCCCGTGGTATATTCGAGTTCCTCTGGTATATTCAATTAGGCTGTTCCTGAATATACAGTCAATCAGCACGTGAACAACTTTAATGACAGTTTTCCAGCAGTGCTCCTATTTTATTTACATGGATTACCGATGGTTGTCCCCAAGCTGTGCCGAATCTAATTTCGGCACAATGTGCTGAGTGACTTACCTCTTGGGTGGGTCTTGTTCGCTTTGGTTCGTCATGTATAAGAGATACAGATTTGAGTTGTTGACAAAAGTTTTACCTAATATCAAAAACTACAATAATTTCGTACATCATTTTACGGAATTCTGTTGATGAAAAAAGTTAGAGGTAAATGAATGTAAATGAATGTAAATGAATGTAAATGAATGTATAAAATGAATGTAAATGATTTCCATGCCTGAGAGGCTTTTTAGATAGCGGAAGATAAAATGATTATTGTGTTGTAACTTTTGACTATAGTTTTAAGATGTATTGTTCAGTGAAGAATCCTCGGCTTTGTAAAGTTAATTTGATTGAGCCTTATCTAATCTATATGTATAAGCATGAATTTCTTTCTGTCTGTCTAACCCTTATAGACTCGGAAACTACTGAACCGATCGGTGTGAAAATTTGTATGCAGGGGTTTTTTGGGGCCGGGACAGGTTCTTATGATGGTTCGAGACCTCCCCCTCCCTCTGCAAGGGGGGGGGGGGCTCCCATACAAATGAAACAGACATTTCTGCATAACTCGAGAACTAATCAAGCAACTGGTATGGTTAGGTATAAGAAGATGGTCATAGAGAGTAGCCCCTTAGATAAGAGGGGGAGGGGGGTACAATATAGCATGCTTTTTTATTTGGCGCATAAACTTAAGTTAACATTGAATCTCGAGTAAGGCGGGGCACACTCAGCTAGTAAATTAATAAACAGCAACTTCTGGTTCCATATTTGACATTATAGTTTCCACTACTTGAAAAAAAATTGTTCGATAGACTGCTTGTGGGCATGTTCAGGTGGTAAATATACCGAAGAAAAAAAATGTGTTTCACCTGCAATAAGTGCTTTGACCAGTGATGGCATGATCATTAGAAAATTGATATTTTCCGCTGTCATACGTTCTCATTATCACGCGATATATTGGAGCAAAATATAATGCTTGATATTGATTTTACAAACTCCTTTGATATTGCAAGGCTATTCACAACGTGTAAAGTGTAAGCTGAGAGTTGAATCGATGCAAAAATGATTCCGTTGCACCTCGTTTTCTTAGAAAGAGAAGGTACAATAATACTATCTCATTTTTCTCTTCACCGATGGCAGACACGAAACGACTGATACCAGCCGCTAGGGAAGTTTCGGTTGCGTTCGGGTGTAAAGCAAAAATCATGAAATTCAATCTCACCATAGTTTGGAAAGATTTGCAGCTGGTGAGTTTTGTTAGCTTGATATTCCGAGCTGCGATATCACAGCTTGCAAAATCAACCGCAGTTGTTTGCTTGTTGATTTTTGTCTACGAAAATCAAGCGTGATCTGAGGCTTTGGTTAGATTTGATTTTTTTAATATATTTCCAACACTGACTTTGACCCAGACATTTTCTAATTCTTTGTGCTTATTTGTTATGATTTCTTCAAAAGTAAAGTCAGCATTGATGACAATGAGCTCTCCACCAACAGAGTTTTTCTTACAGAGTTGAAAATTCCTGTCGTGCCGAAATACATTAAAATTGTTTCCAAATTATTTTTCGCTTCTGACGCTTTCGTCCCAGGTTGTTTCAGTTCCAAGAATTATTTGGAGAGGAAGATATAAGTTTCTGATGGATTTCTTTGTAGCTGGGCTACAGCTGGCAATACACAAAAATTTCAGATAATTTGTAGGGTTGGTAATACTTACATTAGTAGGGTCTACCTCAGTAGTAGAGAATGGGAATAGTTGTCGTTACTTCCTTCAGTAGAGCGCGTCAGTGCCGTTGAAAATTTGGAGGACTGTAAAATTTGCATGTGGCCTCACTAGTTTGCTGCAGTCGTTGTGTGCGTTCACTAAGTAGTAACGCACGGTGTGACTTCAAGGGATCTGTCCTTTGGTAGTTCTTCTGCTGCCAGCATTAAACTTGTACTAGTTTTTGTGATACCGCGGATGCATACTGATAGTGGCATAGGAGTTTCATATGATTTTCAGATAAACGTTTGTTTTGAAACATTCTCTCGAAAATGTAACAATATGATTTGACCATCTTTAAAAATTCGTGTGTCCCTTTGAAAAAGTGTACCTCTCGTGAATTGTTTATCGTTTGCACCCTCAACGGCTGATTTGAATGTTTATTTGATGACAAAGACTTAAACTTAGTAAAGACATTCAATTGACAAGATGAACAGCTTATGGGATCCTCAAACCACAGCACAGTGGTTCCCATCAGAACAAAAGTTGGCCAAAACCTCCAAACTGTTGCAAATAGGCAAAAAACAGTTGAAATAAATGTTTTTTTAGCTGTACGAAGAAAACTTGACAATCAAGACGTCACAAAAAGGAGTATAGTAGAACCAAAACCAATGCACAATGGTCCCAAAGCCGTATATAGGAAGACAAAAATGTTTGCGCCCAAACCGTCAGTTTTAGGTTTATGGTTTCTTAGGGAAAGTTGCTTCATATTTTTTGTTCAATCTTTTTATGTTCGTAAAATTAGGGTGGTCCATAAAATTCGTGAATTTAAAATACAAACTTTTTTATTATTTGAGATGGACAAAAGCAGTGTTCTTAACAGTTGTAGAACATTCAATTCAAAGCAACTTTGTTCAAGACACAACATTTTTATCTCTTATGGTTAATAAGTTATGATTTTTTTAAACAAACAGCTTAGGGTGGCCACTAAAATCGGTTTTCTTTGACTATCTTTTCATGCGCTAATTTCTCGTAAAACATTGTTCTGATTAATTTAGAACTTTTGATGTCGCATATTTTTGCTCAAGCAACTAGGTTGCTATCTTTTTTGATAAGAAAGTTAAAGGCTATTTTCTTCGAAAAATGGCTCTTTTCAATTGTCAATATCTCAATATGGGGCAAACCGATTTTCAAACATTAAACTACATTGAAAACATTGTTTTTTCTTAATTTTTGGTAAAAAAATTGCAAGAGCTTTTTGTGTTTAAATCATTTAATTTAATTTTTAAAAAAGTAATATTTTTCAACAAAAACTAGACATAACTTTTCAAATAAAAGAGATAACACCTTAGCAAAAATATGCGTCATAAAAGGTTCCTATGTCTAGAATAAAATTTCACGAGAAATGAACGTTTATAAACGTAAGATATTTAAAGAATGCCGATTGTCTAGTTGCTGCTTCTGATTCCACTGGTGCACAATTTAGGACATGTGCCACCTGCGGATGATTATGAAAAATTCCAAAAAAAGTAATGACAGGTTTATCTTCTATAAAACAATCTCACAACTGATTAGAGTCGCTCGGTGAAGCAAATATTGAAATTACGCAAAAATATCCATCAAGTACCTTGTACAATTTTCTTTTTCAAATAGACCCAATAACCGTTTGAATGTTATGCCACATTCTAATCAAGCAAGCAGTGGCTCGAGTAAATCCCGATAAACGGAGATAAAGGTGTCAATTAATAGCTCATAAGAATTGCTCCATTCACACAGTAATCACAAAACCCAGTGACATTAACACTCACAGCATGCTGCACAATGAGATTTAATCCTCGTGAGGCAGTCACGAACAAACAACATACCTCAATTGGTAGGCAGTTCCAAACTGGACCGGTCTGCATACGCTACAACAACTGGAAAATTACTCCCTGGAAGCATAGCTGGCACTCGCACTACTATTGCGAGCAGCTAAATCAGATTTACGACGCGCAAACTACTAATGTGGCTGCAAAATAATCACCATTATCACTAAATCCAATATTTACGACCTTTCCTCAACGACTCCCGGTCCAGTCTTTTCCTCCTCTGCAGTGCGCCTTCCAGCATTGATCCAACGTGAAGCAAGTGGTCCTTGCCTCACCGCGGCTTGCTCGATCCAAATCAACATAAATTACTTCTGCTGGTCGTCGGGTAGCCAGTTTACAGCTTCCTCTTGCATTGGCGCACTTGCATTGATGCAGATATGTAGGCATATCTACGTACCAACATGTGGTTGGCAGCCAAGGAAAATCCAGAAGTTAAGGGGTGAAAATTGACCAACTGCTCTCACCCCGTCTATGGATTTAAATAGTACATAATTTTACACTTAACACGATAAGTGTTTATAAATATGACTAATTCATTAGAGCTGCGCCGGCCGGTGAGAGCCAACGAGTGCGTGCCAGATAGATAGCCGTGAAGTCGAAATCAACTCCGACCAATGAATGCGATACATTCAGTGAGTGAGCTTAAGCCAGCCAAGTCCACACAAAGCTCGCCAAGTGTGAAAGGGGATAAAAATATTAACTTCAAGAGGGGACAGACAACTTCATCGATCGGTTGGTGTTTTTGCTCCCAGAGCAACCAGAACCGGCGGGTGATAATTCATAGATTTTTGTAATAAATTGAAAATTACATAAAATCAAAAGCCAATCGACGAATAAATCACGACATCAGACTGGCCCTTGCGGCTGGTTGGTAGAAGGGTGTTCGAAAGTAAATCAGGCAAACACGATCTATTCTGATGGAAAACTAGCAATTTATTTCAAATTCACACGTTGAGTGGATTTTCGTCCAAAGTGCACTGAGGTGATTGAAAATTTATGTTATGCTGCTAAAATCAATAAAAGTCAGTGGTTTTCGGGTTGCTGGTAGACCTACTTGTTTGGTGATCCAACATATCGGGGCCCTGCAAATCAGTGGCCAATGAGTGCAAGTGTCAGTTTGGGAAAGAGCCGAGTGGCGTTTTGCATGCAAAAATTCAGCACGTATGAACCTGTTTCGTTGTTTGGACATGCAATCATGGAAAGGTGCGAATGGCAAAAAAAAAGTGTTGGTGAAATTGGAGCACGCGATGAAATGCATTGACCCGATGATAATCGATCGATCAGGTGCAGTTGATTTACGATTTGGGAATTTCGTCCTCCAAGCGGGACAGATGAATGTTACGATCGGTTTGTGTAGGTTTCCCACCAAATTCTCCGGTGTTGAGCCGTGCACGAAGGTCCAGCGAGCGGATATCCGTCATGAGAGAATGTTGCTTGTTTTCCAGATCTTGATCGACCTTTTTGGCCAGCTCGTGCAAACTGTTGTACAACGTTTTGGCTGCGTTGATCTTCTCGCGAAGAATCTTGGTGGTATCACGGAGTTTGTGGACCTCGTCACACAGCCCGTGATAGGACTCATCGATGCAGAGCTCCATTCCGGAACGCTGGGCACGGTTCTCCAGGCGTGTTTCGACCACTTTCAACGCTTCAATTTTATCGTTGTAGGCTCGCTCCAATGTCTCGATCTCCGAAGCACATTTTTCCATCTCTTCCTTCATCTGGAAGAAAGTATCGGAATCGATTAATGCAAATAAGTTAAATTCATACCAAAAAAATGTACCTTTCCCTGTTGGTACTCCAGTTCATTGCGAGCACGCTGAGTTTCAAAAATTCGCTTTCTCAACGTATGAGCAGTACGATCCTGTTGGCTCTTCAAAATATTTCTAGCTTTTTCACGAGTCGCAAAAAGCGATTCCCGGACGGCAGCCGAGTCGGATAGCGTTTTCTCGGTCAACGAGACCAGTTCCTCGCAGTACTCCAACCAGTTGCTGTAAGTGCATGAGCTGAAATTCAACATAGATTTCAATTAATTACCTTCCCAAATTTCGGACCAGCATCCTACTTCTTCGGAACCCTCGTCGAATCCGTCTTAAACGTCACATTAGCGCAATGCTTATCCACTTCCAGCTGATGCTGGTCAATTTCCTGTGCCTCATCCTTGTCCGTCAAGTCCAGTTCCAACTTGAACTTGACCTCCTGCAGTCGATTCAATTGTTCCCAAGCGCCCTGGTTCTGATCTCTCAACAAGCGCTGATTATTCTCCACGATGCACAGCTCATTTTTCAACTCCGTATCCCCTTCGTCATAGGTCAACTCCGATCCCAGCCGGCAATCCCTCATGCTAATACTCTCCGTCACCACCGTCAGCGGCATCATCAGAGCATCCAGATCCCTCTCGGTGCAAGCCTTCTCCTCCTTAAGCGAGCCAATCTCATCGTTGACCCGTTTCAGCAGAATCCGCATCGTCTCCCTCCATCGATCCAGTTCCGCTACCCGATCCGAAAGCTTATCATTGTTATGATACGTATCCCAGTAGGTTTGGATCCTGGTTTCGTTCCGCAAATTTCTCGCCAAGTGCCGCAGCTCGAACGCATCCGAGCGCTTGCCGTAGGCGACATTTTTCAGCTGATTCAACCGGGAATGCCAATCCGGAAGGCTCAGATGTTGCAGTGGTTTTTCAAACGTGGCTACCGCGCGGTTCGACATAATGGTGCGTCTTCAGTACGGAACGAGTGGATTGAAACTGAAAACCTAGTCAGCAAGCACCGGGGACGTCGAAGCGAAACGACTTTGTTTAGTTGATGGCAGGTTGGAAACGCTGTCCGTTGCCAGGACAAAGGGAACGCTCGCCTGGATACGGTTTGCTTCGGGGGTTTACAATTGACTGGGGGATTTGGGCATTGCGAAATACTCATACTCGAAGGAAGTTATAGCGTAAAACTTCAAAAGCACAACATTTTAATGTCAGCTTCCGTAAAACATAAAATTATGAAATTGATACTCTCTGTTTTCAATAGTGCAGCAAGCAAGGAGTACACGCAAACCAAAAATTTATTACAATGAATGTTAGTTCCATTTCCTATCATCCTCTGTTCATGAACATCGCAGCGAATGTTAGAAGTTGACCTTGCAGGCGATGTAATGGTTTTTTGCCTTTTTTATTTCGTGTTCTGTCTGTGCTTTCACCTACACAAGCAAGCATTTCCTTGATTTTTATGTACAACATGGTAGAACGACGCACACACTTGCCTCGAATCTCTCCAGCAGAAAAAGCATATGAAGTCAAGTGTGAGAGGAAATGAGCGCTTCTTGTTTGCTTTTAGGCTACCCATATTCAGAAGCATGGAGAGAGCAGTGGAGAAAGCACAGGTCTGATAATCGCAACGTTCGTGGTTGGAGTCCAGTCGGCAATCTGTTTCCTATTTTTTTTTCGACATAACGAATTTACCTCACTAATACACAGACATTTTTCGGTCTCCAATTTTCTTGCATTGGACCGCAGCTAGGTATATCGCATCCTCGGTTCATGCGGTCTCCACTAACATCCTCTGATGATGAATCCCACATAATTGTAAGCAAATCTTACATCCCCCGGTTGGGTGTAGCAATTTCATATTTGTATGGTTTGTGGAAGTTGACATTTCAACAGTGAGCATGCATAAGGGCCTATACGCGATGATCGATTCTCTTCATCGATTTTCTCTTTTGTTAATAACTCGCTAGATTAAACATTTCTCGGTGCGTTAGCTGTTGCTTTTGATAACCAATACAACCTGTTACTACTCTGCGTTGAACAAATTCTAGAAAATTGTTTCACTTAGCTGTACCAATGCAAAGAGAAAATCGATGAAGAGAATCGATCATCGCGTATTCGCCCTTATGCATGCTCACTGTCGATTTGTGCTTTTGAAGCTTCGCACTAAGGCTTCCTTAGAGTATTTTTTCACGCAAACATCGAATAAATTGATTTAACATTTTCGAAATGATGTCATGAAATTTGTTTTTCAATAAATTAATGATTCAATAAAATGTTGATACCAACTTTATCATATTCAGGCCATCCGTGACATACTGCAGATAAGCTACAAATAAGTAATAGGTGAAAAACTGGTACAGCAGCAGACTGATGAAGTTAAATTTACTATATTAGCCACGTTTTAGACATGTTTACTAAAATGACATTAGGGAAGGTGTTCCCGTAAAAAACTTGGTCCTGCAGGAGAAGCTGCATACTTGGGTTAAAGCAAATATATTATATTAACAATATGATCCACTCATTCGCTTAGCTGACGAACCAAATTTTTAGCGATGAAAGCACCTCTGTGGCCAAAAAGGCTACCAATGTATTTGTTTATCGTCACGAGGGGCAAACCAAATGAAAATTTGATTAATATTTAAAATGGATGTAATTCAGCATATTATTTTATTTGATAACAACAGTGACATGTCAGACAAATTTTAAAGTAATATACACAATGTAATTAATGAAAATAATGTGACTCTTACTTTTGTAATAAGTGCTATATTCGCACCCCTCGATTGTAATTGAATGATTGTTGCTGACCTTTTTCAACGCTAGATGGTGCGTGAAGCAATATTTTGCGGGTCGCCATTGCAATATTTGGAAAAGGCATGAATGGATCATATTGTTAATATGATATATTTGGTTAAAGGGTAACGACCGGATAAATTACTCTCCCTCCATATTTCGCCAATTAGTGTAAGGATCCACAAGATTACAACGAAAACTGATTTTATATCTCAATAAACATGCAGTGATCTATCTACAACTCGATATTGAAGGGACCATCGAGTTATAGAATTATCGAGAAATAGAATAACAATCCCATACAAAATTGCTATCACATGAAATTAATTCTAACTATGGTTTTATATAGAGCTTCCAATTCCCGGTAAATATTTATTTGATATCCCGGGATCCCGGGAAGTAAATAAAGATAGTAAATTGTTTTAATATTCATATATTTCTAATTTATTTTCACGATGTTCTGAAATGTATGTTTCATCGCCTTCGAAGAATGATTAAAAAAGGTGATTTCATCAATACTAGGGACACCAGATTTAATGACATATCTTCATTTTGAAGACATTTAAAATTCTGTGAAGGTTTTTTTTTCATGCAGACATTTTGAAGACATTTAATGATATGTGAAGTTGTTTCAAGACATGCGGAAGTTGAAGCAGACTTCCGATGGATTTTTTTTTTAATTTTAAGCTGGCATATGAAGATTTTTGTTAAATAAATGAAGTTTTTGATTTCATATTTTAAGCTTCTTCCTGAATATGTTGAATATGAATAATGTAACCAAAATCGGATATTTCAGAATAAAAATTGATCCAGTTAAGTATTCACAGGACTTCACTGAAATATTCAATAAGCTGTAGATCTTTTGAAAACTTCCTGATCAACGTTCAGTTTTGGGAGAATATCTTCACAATAATACTTGATCAACCTGAAGCCTTGAAAAATATCCAGAGGACTTTATTGAAATCTTCGATCAGCTGAAGATCTTTTAAGTACTTCCTAACCGATCTGCCATCTTGAGAGAACCAAATGAGATTTCCTGATCAACCTGAATTTACTAATATCTGACCAACCAGTAATCTTGAGAGACTATCTAGAGACGTTATTTGAATTTTACGAACAGTTAAATATTTTAAGAATAGATCGACCTGAAGTCTTGAAAAATATCCATAGGTCTTTAAATCTCCGACCAGCTGTACATCCTTTAAATACTCTCTCATCAAACTTCCGTCTTGGAAGGATGTCTATAAGACGTTGTTTGATTTTTTGAACAGTTGCAGATCTTCAAAACATTGCTCGATTAAGTTGGAAAGTCTTGAATAATATCCAGAGATATCATCGCAACGGCGCCGGTGGTGTAGTGGTAAGCGTGACTACCTCTCACCCCAGCAGGCCTGGGTTCAATTCCAGTCGGTGCCGCCGGGATGTTCTGAGGCATAACATCTCTGATCACGCCTTCCTTCGGATGGGAAGTAAAGCCGTTGGTCCCCGGTTCATGAGTTAATGGGTCGATAGGTAGGGTTCCGGTGTGGGAGCTGCCTTCCATTGGCATTGGTGCTCAGCACGGAAAACAAGATCGACGGAAAAAACAAACCAAAGGAAAAAAAAGAGATATCATCGCAAATCCGTGAATATCAGTTATACGCAGATTTCTGTACTTTCAAGAAATTTCTTGAACTTAAACTCAGTTCCAAGAACCCAAAGCCTATTTAAAGTTCCCTGAATATGTAGAATATTTGACGAAAACCTTGGATTTTCCGTCAATTTCCTCGAAGTTCCCAGTACTTCAAATAATTTGCTTTAGCTTACATCTTTTAATTTTTCGATAGGTACAACTGAATTTCTGCCCAGCTTGCTGAACTTGTTCGAATTTCAAATAATTCATGCGGTGTCCCGTAATCATCGTCCACGAAGTTGTTTAACATTCTACGAAGTATCCTGAAGATCTATGATGGTCCCTAAACTCTTAGGAAGTTTCACGAACTTCTAAGAAGTTCCAAGAACTTCTATAAAGTTCCAAGAACTTCTATGAAGTTCTCTGAAATCAAATGAATGTCTCTTGCCATCTAAGATGTTCCCTAATGTGACGTGATGTTATGTTTGTCAGCCAAATTTCACAATAGTCCGTGCAGATCATGATGATCAAGGTGGATGATTTCTCTCATGAATGTATTTGTAAAAACTATAGATGGAAAACGGTGACATATAGAAGTTTCTCCAGAAGGAGTAAGCATTTTACAAGATTCCGCTCGCTAATCTAAGGAAGGACTCTAAAAACTGCAAATACTGAGTTTTTTCATCAGTTGAGACTAGTACTACGTACTTCCAACCATCTTAACAATACATTTCAATGGTTTTTCGATCAACTATGAATGATGGACATCTCACAACGCTCAACCTGATGTTCGTCAAAATGTTCACGGTTTGTTTCACTGCTAGATCGTGTTTCCGGAGTGATTTGAGATTTGGGCGTAATTACATTTGTAAACAAACACGTCAATCACTGATTTCTCGCGAATTAATCTCAATCTTGAAAACTAATAACGCTATGAGGTTAATCTCTTACTTCTCGTGAATTGAAGGGATTATTATCGCACACATTTTTTTCAGGAATTCCATAAATGCTAAAAACTCGTCTAAACACATCACATTCTGTCCGTGCTGACTTCCCTCTTGTTTCTACAACGTGAATCCATTTTGAGAAATAATCGGCTATCAACAAGAAACTTTTTCCTCCAAAATCGAAAAAATCACTGCTCACTTTTTGAAAACTGCGTAGCGGAACATCGTGGGGAAGTAACGGTTCTTTCACATTTGAATTCTGAAACTTTTCACAGACAGCACACTTCGAAACACATTGTTCAATATCCTGATTCATCCGTGGCCAGTAGAATATTGTTGCAGCACGCTTTTTGGTTTTGGTTATTCCTCCGTGAGTTTCATGCAGCAAATCTAGCATCTGAGACCTCAAACTATAAGGCACAAAAATCCTTTCCTCATTGAATATGATTCCGTTGTCTTCGTAAAGCTGGTCTTTAAACCTCCAATAGTATCGTAGCTCCTCAGGTAATTTGGACCGATCATTAGGCCAACCTTCCAAATATAGCTGCTTTAGCCTAGGCAGAATTGGATCCTTGCTGGTTTCATTTTGAAATTCTGCGATCCTGTCCTCGGAAACGTTAATGGTATGAACGACGTAGTCCA